TAAATTAGAATTTAGAATTTTTTTAATTGAAGTATTAAAAACACACACATTTACATGGAGTCAGTGAAATCATAAATAAATTTTATGAGCAAAGATTATGTTATTTCCAATAATAAGCGCTTTCTCTTTAATATTTCATGATAAAATAGACTATACACTCGTTTGCTTTCAAATCTTCAACAATGCACACAACAAATGATAATCATTGATGAAAAGAAAAAAAATGCCTTGTTTGAAACTGCATTTTGTATTACGAATTTTTTTACTATAGAAAAATATTTTCAAAAAGAAATATAAAATTTGATAACATTAAAAAAAAACTAAAATGAACAGTTTGCTGAATTGTTTTATCCGCAGATTTTCATTTAAAGAAGTATTAAAAGCACACATTTACATGGAGTTTATTATTATATGCTATTATGGATGTTTATTATAGAATTCTACGCTTCTTAATGTATAAAAAAAATTGTGTTGTATTTGTGTAACACACTCCAATGTTGTGCACTATTTTATCATCCATTTCATATTAATATCCTGTGAATAGCATACTAATATACCGTGAGTACTTATAAATACCGGCTCTCGTTCGATCATCGAAGTCTCAAGCATCATCGGACGTGGTCAGTACTTGGGAGGGTGACCACCTGGGAACACCGTCGTGCCGTTAGCATTCAAAATTTTGGGTCTGATAGCCGAGGGACTAGCTCTCTGGCGTCACAGGTTTCGGGTTCGAGTCCTAGCTGTGCCATGGATGTTTGTAGTGGTTCGAATCCACTTTAAACCGTAGGTCCCTATCTAATATGGCTGTAGATCGTTGGGCGTAGTGCTGAAGACCCTACCCTCATAAAAAAGAAACATCTCCTGTATAGAAATCTGCCAGCAGGCAGACGGCCTTGTTGTTGATGATGATTCAATGTGCTCTGTTGATGATGATGATTTCTTATAAACAATCACATCATAAATATATAAGATGATATAAAAGCCATGAGTGTACAAATAATAATATGAGTACAATATATGAATTCCATAATAGCTTATTAAAAGCAGATGTTGACTGAAATGAAATAGTAAATCGTTGAAGGATTTCACGATATATCTCAGCATACATTAAAAGACATTGATAATCAACATAATATGAACAAACAAATAAGAATAGAAATCTAATTAAACAATAGAAACAGAAATCTCTCAATAAGAACTTAAACCTAATTCAGCATACTGATTAAAAAACTAATTGGCGATAATTGTTGCGTTCGTAACCTACTACGTATTGATCTGCATTTAATTGATTAGATAATTTTTAAGAATTCTATATCTACCAAATTTCAAGAAGTGCTTCGTTATATAAAAAAATTCTGTAATAGCCACTGATTGAACTTTTAGGATTCTGAAATGGAAGAAACTTACATTCAGCAAACCTTTTTGTGAAAGCAGCAGATAAAGCTGACATAATTATTGAAAAAGAAAGGTGCCCACGTTGTTTTTCAATAAGAACATAAATCTAATTCAGCATACTAATTAAAAACTAATTGGCCATAATTGTTGCGTTCGTAACCTACTACGTATTGATCTGCATTTAATTGATTAGATAATTTTTAAGAATTCTATATCTACCAAATTTCAAGAAGTGTTTCGTTATATAAAAAATTCTGTAATAGCCACTGACTGAACTTTTAGATTCTGAAATCGAGGAGACTTCCATTCAACTGGTTATATGAGGATTGAATTCGTCTGGCGCACGCCCGAATGAATCGATAATTCCAAACACACATTTTTCAAAAACAAGGCCACCCAATTTCTTCGAGACAGCCGGAATTTAACGCTTTTACAATTAATGCAGACCCGTCATTTGTTAGATCTAAGACATAAATTCGGTATGCAAATTTGAATTTAACGAGGCTCCTCGGCTACAAGGTAGCTGTCAGCCTCTATCACGTAAATTCGATGATGCCGGAAAGATGGAGCACGCGTTTTCCTGTAATTTATAGAAATCATTGTTATATTTCTAGTGATAAGTTATGTTTCCAAGAAATCAATGTTTTATTTTCAGTGGTAAATTTTATAACACGAAATCAATGTAAAATATTTATGTGCAAATAATATAGCTATTAAAAATGACAAGTTTAATGACATTTTTAATACATATATATTTTTTTTTAATTTTAGCAATGATTAGATCTGGAAATCCTTGATTTCTTTGGTGTACAAGAAATTGTATACCTCTAATCAGAGATATCTGATTTGACATGTTGCGAAGCAACTTAGCTGCGCAAGCAGCCGCTAGCTTCTATCTTGTTTCAGTACAAAGACGATGAAGAAATGCTTTGAGAGAAAAGTACAGTAGTGAAGACTAGGAAGCTCGCCCAAATGGATTTAAAAAGAAAAAGAAAGATATTATGATACAATCATGGTTTAACATAAAAAATAAAAATAATAATAATAGTAGTAATAAAGAAAAACGCGAATAATCAGAGATATGGTACTCGGAAATAATAATAAATTCGGGTACACTAAAGAAATAGTGCTTGATTCATTCTCAAAGAAATTAAGGATCTCCAGATCTAATAATTGCTAAAATTTAAAAAAAAAAATATGTATTAAAAATGTCATTAAGCGTGCCATAATAATAACATTTTTATTAGCTACATTGTTTGCACATAAGTATTTCAAATTAATTTCTTGTTATAAAATTTGCCACTAGAAATATATCATTGATTTCTATAAATTACAGGAAAGTCTTTTTTTTTTTCTCATATTTATATCTTTCTTTTTTTTTATGTCAACTATTATAGTATCGTTTTTTTTTTTTTTTTTTAATCTATTTGGGCAAGCTTCCTAATAGTCCATACCGTTTTTTTCTCGTAAAGCATTTCTTCTTCTTTGTACTCAAACAAGATATCTTCCCATCATGCCAAATTAGCATATCTTTGATTTTTAATATACTCAAAAGGGGCATTTCAGTTTATTTACGCACATCGTCTGTAGCACAGTGGCGCTGTAATCAGTTTTTAATAAATATATTATGGAAAAACAGAAATTTCACATTAATGTCTGTTTTTTGTCCCTTTCTGTATAGGTTTTCACTTGATTGCCTCTATATCCTATTATACTGTGTATTACTGTCATAGCTCATTCTACTCTTTATGTGAGATATCAAATTTGCATAAAGCGAAACTCGTAACTGATATTAAATTTGCACAATACCGCTTGGCCTTAGGCCTAACTTCACCCGCCAAGTACTTTTTAATGTACTGTGTATGCAATACACTTAGAAATATTTCACTGAAGAAGGTCCCTATAAATTGGTTCAAGCTCATTATATTGTTCCTCTCCAATAGTAATATTTAATAAAACAAAAGAAAAAAAACACAGGTTCGAAAAGAAATTAGAGCATGCAAATTCCGAATTGTAAGATTCACGAACTTTGCTGAAATGCAGCGACCTCTATCTTCTTCACGGCAAATAAGTGAATTGGCTGTGGTTTTAAAAAAATTTTTTTTTTTACTATTATTTTAGGGAATTATTTGGAAATAATGATTTATTACTACCTTTTTATTAGATTCTATACTATTTTGTCAATATTTATTACTATTTTATTTTATTTTTAAACCAGAGCAAACTAACTCTGAATTGTAAGATTCACATGGAACTTTGCTGTAACTCAGCGACATCTATTTTCTACCTGCAAATATTACAGAATTGGATGAAATTGATTATATTGAAATTATTATTAATTAGAAAATAAAAGTCGCTGCGTTCCAGCAAAGTTCTTCGTAAATTTTACAATTCAGAGTTAGTTTGCTCTGTTGTCGCTTCGAACTTGTGCCAGCAACTAAAAAAAGAAGAAAAAATAAAATAAAATTCCATAAGCCCCGAGAATTTTAAATTGAAAATGGATCTTACTTTTCGACACAGTAATAAAGTGAGATTAACAAGGGAAATCTAACATGTAATAACTAAAACACGAAACATGTGACCCAATAAGTAAATTTATTGTATTAAAACCAAAAATGTATAGCCTTCTGTTTGGAAATAATGCCTGTAAAAAGCAGCCAAGGAGCTTCGCAAAAAGTTCACTAGCACTTTTAACTCACGAACCTTACGAAAATGTGCTAAAAGATGAATTACTTATTAGGAAGAACAAATATTCAATAGTTTCTAAAAATCATTCACTTACAACAATAGATACAAGGCCAGACTCTTTCAGATCTGGAAATGATGGATTGGCATGGAAATGATGGAAATCATTCAGAGCAATAAATAGAGATGTTTATAGAATTCTTTCCAAATTTAAGAATAAGAAAGAATACTGCAGTTTTTCAAGATTTTTGAAAATACTGAAATTTAAGAATGAAATTAATAATTCTTAGGATGATCATGATTGAGACATGAGGTAAATTCTTCATAATCTAATAAATATTAGAAGCTTGCTTAATTCATAACTGATGAATAGCTTGAACCATATCAGAAAGTTGAAATGGAGTTCAGGATAGGAGAATTGTTGAATTTATCAATGTTAAAATTGACCAGATCCTCGGTTTGTTTATGATGAAATTAAAACTCTAAACCGTGGGCCAAAAAAAGTTCACCTTTTTCTTTATCAGTGTTTGCCATTGATTTTCGGGAAATAAGTTGAGCAATTTTAGATCTATTAGTCTTGAGGTTTCCTAGCAAAATTCAACAAAGCAATCTTCAGGATTTATGGATTGTTATTTTTGTGTCCAACTATTTTGATTATAATCATATGAAACATAATTGATTTTTTTCTGAATTAGGTTAAAAAAATCTTTGTCTACCGGGCTTCAGCTGTTCTGCCAGATATTCTTCGTTTTATTTATATGCTTTTAAAAGGTGTTTGGATGAAACCATGTGTAAAAATCAGTACTTTAACTTTTACCTATGATCACTAATTTTCTACATTAAAGTTTCTTTTTATATTAGAATATTAATTAGGCAGAACCTTAATGTAAAAGACTAGTCTTTAATTCGGTTGGCTAGAATCACTATCATTTGTATTCCTTTTGAAATTACCGGTCGAACAAAATTTAGCCGATGACATAAATTGTGCGGGTGTCATGCCAATAAAATTGAAGCTTTCCATGCTAAAAATGTCATTTGTTCTACTAAATTATTTGAGGCAAGTTACGAAAATTGGCTGAAGATATCGCATACACTGGCCAAGTGCCCCCACACAGTAAGTACATATAAATTCATATTATCGAGTGCATGAAAATCAAACACTCGTTCCGGAAAACTTAAGAATTTTGAGTGATGGAAGAAAATTAAAAATTAAAGAAATAGTACATATAAACAAATACTTTAAGATAAAAGTGGTAGATCAATCAGATAACACACATGTCAATTAATCGGGGTAAGTACACGAGTGTCTTGGTCGCTCAGCGACCAAACCTCCAACCCGGTAAATGGGATTACGTAACGTGAGGTCTTGCCCTTTGCCAGTTATAAAAAATATAGAAAATTTAATAAGAAAAACAATAAAATCAATTAAGTTACTAAAAGCAACAAATAAACAATTTAATAAAAGAAGCGGCACCGAGGGGGAAAGCAAACCATCGGTTGTTTGGGAAGAAACTAAAAGCGAGCGTATTATTTATTAATATTAAGTACTGAAGATCTTTTAGGCCTGGCTAGTGGAATGTGAAA